TAATCATACTGAAGTTGTTTTCAAGGGCAATGGCAGGTCACTGAAATAGGAGAACAAGCCTACCCAATACAGAAAGTGGGGTAAATTTTAGAAAAGCCTCACACACACACACACACACACACACACACACACACACACACACACACACACACAGACACACACACAGACACACACACACACACACACACACACTTCTGAAACTCTGTGTATGTCAAAGCATATTTAAAGGATCACAGTGGTCCTCAGACTGTCAGTTAGCCACAATTCACACAGGAAACTAGGTGCTGGAGTCAGCTCTAACAGATGCTGTCTGACTGGCATGAAGCTATGTTCCAAGCTTGTGGTTTTCCTCTGCAAACTTACAAAATCCACCACCTCATGTACAGTAGAACAATGAGTGCTGTAAACTGCATTAAATGCATCACCTCATAGTGCAATGGGCTCTGTACACTAGGTGAATTCCATCATCTCATGTACAATAGGGGTAAGGGTTCTATATGGCTTCTATAGACTGGGTGAAATTCATTGCTTCATATATAATAGGGCACTGGATCACCACTTTGTAAACAGTAATAATGAGACTGTAACATGGAAATCATTTTCATGTATTTAGACTTTGCCATTTTGTCACTTGCTTAGAATGCATATCAGGAAATGAAATTGCCATTTTATTTGACTAATTTTATGCCTCAAAAGGACTGTACCATGTGTCACATACAGCCTGACATTGTATCAGGAAGTCTTTGCCAAACACTTAGTAGGCTTTCAGCTTTCTTACATTCCCCTCTTGTAATGAGACTGGTGAGCTATGAACAGAAATGGCATGTATCTAAGATACCTAAGAGAGGAATATCTGTTCTGCCTATGAAGGCAACAACCAGAGCCATGCATTGAGATAATACCATGGGCCTATGAGTTACCAGATGGAGGAAAGACATAACAAACACTATTAAAATTGTTCACATAAATAAGACAAAAGCTGTGTGTCAAATTGCTGGGAGTTTTGAGTTACTTGTAGCAATAGCTTTTCTAGTTTTAGGCATACCAGTTGATAGTGAGACCAGCAGTAAACATGAATGTAATTCACCATATCTCTATAGCATTTGACACTGTCATTAAAAACTCTCATTTTAATGTATTAATGGGTGGTGTATTGTTCCTATTTCATTTAATCTTGCACTCTAAGATTGAATATTTTCCAAATTTATTAGCTATAGTTCCCACCTAAAGAAATATAAACTACTTTTTGATAATTGATGCTAATCAGCTTTGATATTTTATCTTTTTAGAAATAATATTTTATTAACTCTTTGAGAATTTCATGTATTGTATTTTGGTCATATTTAATGCCCTCCTCCAACTCCTTCCTTGCCCCCCCTCTCTACCATCACCTCCCTAGCCACCCAACTTCAAGTCTTTTATTCTCTGCACATTGATTAGTTGAGGGTTCCTGTGTATATTGCTATTAGAAGATTCTCTGGTGAGGGTTCAGAGATGCACTGTGCTACGTGTGTCTTAAGAGTCAGTTTAATACTATGTCTATTTTGTAGAACAATAGCACTGGCTTCTCCCCAGGGCCTGTTACCTGTCTTGTCATAGATGCTTGGCTCTGTTAGCAATTCCAGGAATGGATTAATCTCATGGAATGAGCCTTAGATTCATTCAGAAAGTAGTGGGTTGCCTATAGCACTCCCAGAAGAGAACTGTAATCATCATTCCTACATGGCAGGGAACCCCGAAAACTGCGATAATGACTGGCCTGACCGAAACATTTATTACTACTACTACTACTACTACTACTACTACTACTATCATTATTATTATTATTATCATTATTATTAAGTGCTTTTTTGTGGTACTGGATGTTGAACCCAGGGCCTCCTGCCCACCACACAGTTGCAACCCCAGCCCATATATTTTTTTAAACTTCAAGGGCATCTTTTGTATGAAGAAGAGATTAAACCTTTGTCAACAGAATTGAAAACTTGTCTGAACTTTTCTCTTTACTATGTTCATCATGTAAACAGCAGTTGGAACTTTTTACATAAAGTCAGTCATGCTTTCCATTTGGGACTCCTTTTGTTACTTTTAAACAAACCTCCATCCTTTTAAAATCCTGAAAATATTTAGTTAATAGTTTCTCAGCTCTTTTCTGTAACTTGACCTTACTCTGGTTTATGATCAAATGATGGTTCTAGCAGTAATTAACTGCAATATACTCATGTATTACCTGACACATTTGTAGGTAGGGGATTCCTCTTCCAAAAATAGACTCAGAAATAAACTTAAGTTTATATCACAAATCAATTTATGGAACACTGAATTAAACCTGAAAGACTATAGCTGTGACATCTATTCACTTCATGTGACTACTATTAAGCCATGCTGCAGAGTTTGAGCATCCTTCCTTAAGTATGATTTAATGGCAATGGCTGTCATCCCATTCTCGTTCGCTGCTTCAGAACGGACTTCCCTTTTCCTGGCTTAGTGCCTCTGTCACAGGAAATTCTTAACTAGTTTATCTTGCTCTCCATAAAAATATTCTGCATATATTTTACTGGACTTCATCGTGTCAACCTACCAATCAGAGTGTTTGTGATATTTGATCATCATTTAAGAAGTCTTGCCAGACATGGTGTCCAAAGCCTTTAACTGAAGCACTAAGGAGTCAGAAGCAATAGAGCTTTCTCTGAGTTCAAGGCCAACCTGGTCTACATAGTGAGTTCCAGGACAGTCAGGGCTACAAAGAGAGAACCTACCTGAAAAAAAAAGTCTTGCCATTGACCAAGTCATCTTTTATATCTCTGTATATATCATTCATAATGCTATTCATATTAATGAAGTATAAGAAAATACTAATTTAAACAATGCTATAAATTGAACTATGTATAATTAAGGGAGGGAGAATTTAATTTGTTTGCGCTCGGCTCTGTTCATTGTCAAGGCTCAGAGTTCATCCTGGAGTGAAAGGGGCACCTGTTATGGTGTCAGTATCTCATGGTACTTGGTGGAGAGCTGGGTCTGAGCTGACTGCACTAGATTTTAGCTGAGAGCCCACTTTGAGATCTGGCTCTGTACTAGCCCACAAATATCTATTACTGAGTGTTTTTCTGTAGTTCACACTCCCTTTATTGCTAGTGTGACTCAATGTCTTCCTTTAACGGTCTGTCTAGGTTTTAACTTCCACACTGCTCCCTCTGATTCAGGAGAGACACCTGTGACTCGAGCTGCGACCTTCAGACCATTGCTGTACCTGCTGGAGGGCAGCTGAGTGCCTCCCACTCACTCCCTTGGTGTGTGTTTCTAAACCTCCCCTGCTGTGTGCCACTTCCGCCTGAGGGTCCCTGCAGTTAGTTTAGCTGGCTGCTGATTGTAGCTGTTGCTTTCCGATATTGCCGTGAGGTGGAATAAGTCCAGCATTAATTTTTACTAATATCTTAAACTTTCTTTTGTTGATAACAACAAAATAGATTTATTTGTAGATTTCATGAAAACAGCAGCTCTCCTCTTACAATAACAAAAATAAAAATTACTGAGGCAGGATAGCTGAGATTTTAAGATATTATTTGTAAGTCTCATAGTAGCAAAAGGAAAATGTCTGCGTCAGTGGCCCTGCCGCAGCCGGGCCTGTGATGATGTCCGTGGCTCACGTTACCAGGAAAGGCCATGTGTATGTCACCGTCTCAGGTGCCAGCTGAAGCATAGCCAAGGGTCTGGCTGCCACTCACCAGCAGTTACACATGTGAGAGCTGGCCCTGCCCCTCACTGACTTCATGGAGGCTGTGGTGAGCACATGGGAGAGCTGGCGGGCTGACCAACTCAGCTGCCACCCGGGCCCAGATTCAGGGCCTTGAGTTGGCACGCCTCAACATCTACTCCATCTACGAGCTGCTGGAGCTGGCGAAGGCTATAGGGAACCATAGCCTCGGGATCTCCATAGTTCAAGGCAATAACAGGATGTCCTAGAGCAGTCCTGGTGAGAGAGGGTTCAATATTGATGGTTAGCAGAAGCCAGAGGCCTTGGACCAGACCAACAACATGTTGCAATGAACATTTGTAAGTTGAATGGGTAAACGGGATATACTGTGTGACACACCACAGCTTCCAATGCCACCACAACAAAAAAAATATTTGATGGGGACGAGGGAAAGGTGGAAGGGAGAAGTGGGACATTCACAGCCAAGACAGGCGTGACAGGAGGGACAGAAGGCTGCCCAGAAAGGTGAGGCACTCTTTCGTTTTTCTTTTCTTTTTAATTTCTTTTCCTTATGGGGGGAGATTACATGGGTAGGTGTCAGATATGGAAGGACTGGAAAATGTGTGGGACTGGGGTGCATGATATGAAATTACCAAAATAAAATAATTAAAAATTACATTGAAAATAATACTAAAGCTATTGGAGCCAAGGGCCTTGTACAGAACACTCCACCAGCAGATCCCAACACTCATTTCTTTTTTCAAATGCACTTGAAACATGCTCTAAAACAGGCCAAATAGCACATGTTAGGCCACAATGCAATACACTCTAAAAGACTGAAATCACACAAAAAAACTGGTCCAGTCACAATGGAAGCTAGAAATCAACAACAGAAGGAAAACTGGAAAATCCATAAATCTGCAGAATCTTAAAATATTCCTCAACAACCAGTGGGCAAAAGACCAAATCATAAGGGAGAGAGAGAAATTTCCTGTAACAAATGAAAATGAAGCACAGTATGCTAAAACAACAGATCCTGGCAAAAGCAGTGCTGGTTACAAAATACAGAACTGCAAATTCATTAAGAGGAAGGTGAGGGGCTGGAGAAACGGCTCAGCAGTTAAGAGCACTGGCTGCTCCTGCAAAATGGCCTGGGTTCTATTCTCACACTACCCACATGGTAGTTCACAGCCACTGAAACCCCAGGCCCAGGGATCCAATGCCCTCTTCTGACTTCCTTGGGTACCAGGCATACACATGGTGCACAGACATACATGCAGACAAAATACTTATATGCACTAAATAAGTTTTTAATTATTTCTTTTACTTTTTGAAATATAATTCCAACACTTCTCCCTTTCCTTTCTTCCCTCCAAACCCTCTCACAAAGCCCCCTTGCTCTTTTGTCAAACACATGGCCTCTATTTCATTAATTGCTATTATGCACGTGCATGTGTGTGTACATGCATATATTCCTAAATACATAAGCACGACCTGCTCAGTATGTATACTGTTACTTGTATTTATGCTTTCAGGGATAACCACTTGGTACTGGATGAGCAAGTGTGCTCTTCCCTGGAGAAGACTGTGTCTCCCACTCTCAGCACTCCTTGGTTGGCGATCGTTCTCTCTGTAGGGCTGAGGCCTCACGGGCTTCCCCAGCCCCATCCACATTATCATGTCTACTGGCATTGTCCTTCTTCAGTCATGGTTAGGCAGCACTGTGGTGAGACTTTATGGATGTAACTTCTGACATTCCTAGGAGATACGATCTTGCATCAAACTCCTGAACCCTCTGACTCCCAAATCTTTCTGCCTCCTGATCTTCAGTGATCCCTGAGCCTTAGCTGAAGAAATTATGTTGTAGATGTTTCCATCAGGACTGGGTTCCACAACTTTGTGTTTTGGTTGGTAGTGTTTTTCTACAATGGTCTCTTGTTGCAAAGAGAAATTTCCTTGATGAGAGATGAAGACTGCATTTTTCTGTGGGTATAAGAGCAAATATTTAGATTATAGTTAGTTAGGGATTGTGCTTGTTTTGTAAAGTGGCAATTGTAGATTCTCCTCCAAGATCCATGATTTCATACAATGACGGGGGGGGGGGTTCTGTTTATTCACAAGATGGATAAACAGAGAAAGGGAGAGAGTAAAATAACAGTAAAGATTCCTAAAAAAAATCATGGGGAACCATACCACTAACTACCTAAAAGTGTCTATAGTTCATATAAGTCAATATATAGTACACATAAGTAGATACAGATAATATTTTTAATGAAAATTTCCTATCTGGGCTAACAATGCTCCCTCTAAAATACAAAGATAGTATAATAAAAACCACAACAGCAGGCATGAGAAACCCTCTTTTGAGTTTTTGGTCAATAACAGGCTACTGCTGTTAGCCTTGGTGGCTCCTCAGAGGTGGAAGCTAAGTCCCTATTGATGAAGACACCGCACACTTCACCACAACACGCTCTTCAGACACAGGAACCAGAGACCTCTGAGCTGGAACTGAATTGAAAGCCTCCTCCCTGAGGACTGGAGTTCATGATATCAGAAGGTGCCCTAAGGATGCAGAAATGACACACATGCCTTGGTGGTAACCAACAGCTCTCTCGTTGGACCTAAGGTTCACTCAATAAGAGGAAAACCATGCCTGCTACCAAAAACAAACAAACAAAAAATCACTTTTAAAGGATCTGAATGCCATAGTACTTGTTCTGTTAAGAACAAGTACTAGGGGCACAGCTCAGTGTGCCCCTAGTACTACCAAAAACAAACAAACAAAAAATCACTTTTAAAGGATCTGAATGCCTAGTACTTGTTCTGTTAAGAACAAGTACTAGGGGCACAGCTCAGTGTTAGAGTGCTAAAGTGCTTCTAGTACCAACAACACCTGAGCTGGATCCTGAGCTACTCAAAGGAGGAGGAGGCGACAGGACAAGGATCTCAAAGCAAAAGCCAGTCTTTATGAAGTAAAGAACTGGAAACAGAAGCACAAGGAAACTTAGAAAAAAGACAAAGAGAAAAAGAACAATTCTATCAAAGGCAAACACTAGAAGGAGAAAGTAAAAATTCAAGCAGTGAGAATCAAATAGTTATCCATGGCTTATTAAATTAAAATCCTAGCACCAAGGATAGGCTAACATCCTACAAGTTACTGGGCAGAGAGACCCCTCAGGCTCCCCTCTCAAATGTAGTCAACTGCCACAGCTAGACTGTAAGGCTTTATGCTGAAGACAACACACATTTTGGTCACAGAATAGGACATAAAGAAATCAAGCTGGAACTGAGCTGGGTGCGTGCCTTAGAGTGCCAAGAGGTTCTTTGCAGACTGCTGAGTAGAGAATTGTGATCAGCCATCTTACAATATGGACCCTGGGAGCTACACTAGAGACCAGTCAGGAAAGGAAAGCGCAAATTGGTCTTGATAAGTTCAAAATTTTAAAAGGACACAGAATTGGGTGGGTAAAATGAATATGGTCAAAATATGTTGTGTAAAATTATCAAAGAACTGACAAAACTTTTTTTAAAGAAAGAATACAGTTTGGGGCTGGAGAGATGGCTCAGGGGTAAAGCACACTGTGTGCTCTTCCAGAGGACCTGGGTTCAATTCTCAGCACCCACCTGGCAGCTCACAACTGTCTGTAGCTCCTGTTTCTGGGGATCTGACACCCTCATACATATATGCATGCAAGCAAAACACCAATGCACATAAAATAATTATTAAAAAAAGAAAGAACACGGTTTAACATCTTATAGTTCCATGGGTCAGAAATCGGGGCTGAGTCTCACAGATGTTTGCAGATTGATGTCCTTCAGGAGTCCCCAGGGAGAAGACAGGCCCTTGCTTCTCCCAGCTTGCAAAGGCTGCCTTCTTCCTTTGGCAGATGGTCTCTTCCTTCATCTTCAAAGCTAGCAGTGTGTCACACTTTCAAAGATCACTTCCTGGCTATCTGCGGCAGTCTCTTCTCATCACACTAAGCCCATGCAGTTAATCCAGGACCATCTACCCAGCTCAAGGTCCTTCAACATACCTACAAAGTCCACTTGGCTGTGGAACAAAATGCAGTCACTTCTTTCTTTGGGGGTCTTGCTCTTCTGTCACACTCAGGCTTCTGGTCACCACATGTGCCGGGCATCATGGACGGGAGAACACTCCCATCATTGAAGGAAGGTCAGTTAGACAGTGCTCATCTAGAGGTTACGAATAAGACACATTTCTTGTGTCTCATTTCTTCCTCTAGAAAAACGTATGTCGTAGCAGGAACCAATGTAATGCTGCAAAGAGGCAAGGAATTAACAATAATATAGTGGGCATCTTCCTATCTCACAGAAAGAATAAAAGCTGGGCCTGTGCATGTAACTCAGTTGGTAGAACGTTTTCTCAGCATGCAAGAAGTCCTGCATTTGGTCCCCAGAACCACATAAACCAAGCATGATAGAACGCGTTTGTAACTCAGAGGTGGAAACAGAAGAATAAGAAGTTCAGCCTGGCTGCACGAGACCCTATCTAAGAACAGGCAAATTAACTTTATATTGCAAAACATAGGGTTACCTTTCATCTGCACATGAACACTGCCCAAGAGCCACTGACACAGCTCACTGTCATGTACCAGACCGAAGATGCCTACTGTCTGCCCTGGATGCTGCAGTAAGCAGACTGTGGCTCACACAAATTAAGAAACATGGCCTCTGATGATAAGAAAAATGGGGAGAAGCCAAAGATTGGTGGGGGGAATGATTTCAGGGGCTTTAGTGAAAACGCAGGTGTTGTAGAATATTTGTTGAGGAAGTCTTGCATTCCTTTATGCTGTGAAATATCTGTATAAAGACACCAACCTAACGAATCCCCCTTGCAGAATATATTTGTTCTATAAGCTCTGGTCTTGTATTGTATGCTATCACAGTGGTGGTTAATATTTAAGGGAATTAGTTCTCATCCAGTTTACATAACTGGCGATGTCAATGACACTGGAAGCAAGAACCCTGTTACTATAAAACACTGGAAGTTAAGAAAGCTCCACTGATGGCATATTAAAACATGTAACAAGGTCTGAAGCTACTGTGAATTTTTTTCTTATCATTTTGAGTAACACGGAAGCCCTGTCAAACAAAGGATAAAAAAATAGTCAGAAAGCTTCCGTTGTCCTGGGGATTTTTAGGCAGAAAGGGCAGGCAAGTCCTGAAGCAGGCACTCTGTGTACATGAGTGGACTGCACTTCTGCTAGCGCCCTGGACTGACAACAAAGCCAATTTCTTAAAAGGTGGAAGAAAGGCTCGGAAGCACAGCTCAGTCCCGGAAGCACAGCTCAGTCCCCGCCTGGAAGCACAGCTCAGTCCCGGAAGCACAGCTCAGTCCCGGAAGCACAGCTCAGTCCCGGAAGCACAGCTCAGTCCCGGAAGCACAGCTCAGTCCCCGCCTGGAAGCACAGCTCAGTCCCGGAAGCACAGCTCAGTCCCGGAAGCACAGCTCAGTCCCCGCCTGGAAGCACAGCTCAGTCCCAGCCTCAGCACTTTGTGCTCTCTCAAATGACTTTCCTCTGTCTCTAAACTTTCAAATTTTGGCCAAACTCAGGAGTCAAACATGCCAGGATTCTGTGGACAAGGCATCCTTTTTATCAAGGTACTGGGAAGTCCATATAACATGTCCAGTAAATTGGAATTGCTTTGCCAATGCGACTGGATCAATTGATGACTCTCAGGGAACAAACATCCTCTTCAATTCTTTCTCTCCTCTTTCTCCTGAACTCACTCCCCTCCTCCAATCCCCAACCCCCAGCATTGCCTCACTCTCCTGGAACCTCTGACTCAGCTGTATAAATAGCAGGAAAAGTAATTAGGAGCAGGGAGGTCAAAATCTCCAAATGCCCCTCTGACAATTTGCTCTTTTCCCACCAGGACTCGGCGTCTTGCTTTCCTAGTTGGAGCAATGTCTGCAAGTCCAAGTCATCCAGGGAGTGAAAAAATAGTTCAAGAGAGGCATCTGGTTCTGTCAGGAACTCTGATCTGAGTGCCACACTGGGAGGAAAAGTGTGGTCAGAGCTGCTTGCCTTCCGTGCTGCAGAGATCGCTGGAGAGCCTGAGCATCCAGGGCTCTCTTCAGGCTTCCGCCAGCAATGCCTGCTCCACCTGGCCCAGGAAGCCTCATGCCCCAACACCTGGGATGTGTTTAATGACCTCACAGCTCATCAAGCGTCCATGGTAGGCACTTTCCCCAGCACGAACTCATGTAAGCACAGTATCCCACACAGAAGATGCTAGCGCCATCCTCTTTTGTAGATGAAGAAACACAGAAAGGTGGTGTGATACCTGACCTCAGTAAGAGGTAGGACTGTCTACACTCCAAAACCACCTAACTGCTCTCAAACCCAGTTCAGTCTCCTCTTCTAGAGATGGCAACCCCAAGTTAGTTCCATTGACCCTCCAAAGGTCAGGTGTGATGTTTGTGCTACAGCAGTGGCCTGACCCAGGTGAAATGATTTGAGTGACAAGGCATAGGTCAGCTCAGATAGGCACCTCTGAGGTATCAGGCAACATAGTGAGCGATGACTGGAACGGATTCTCAGACACATGCAAGTACTCTTTGCAATTGCCCCCTCCCCCCGCCAAAAAAATGGGCCTATGGAGGGAAATTCTTCTGAGGACTGGGACTCTTACAGATAAGGTGATGGAAGCATGTAGTCTTCAATGAGTAGCTCAATGCAGACTACTCTCTGTATTCATTTAGTATCCAGGACATCCTGATGCTGGAAAATTCCGGCTTTGGTATTAAGTAGGGGCTGAAAATATAAATGGCAAAGAATATGTGTCTCTGGATTAAATCACTGGTCGGCTTTTACTATCACAACACTCTAGTTAAGAAATGACACAAACATAGTATGGAGGAGAATGTGCTACAAGAACCACCCTTCTCCTAAGGATGACACCAGGCACCCATTCACACCACTGCTCCTTGGCTCTGTCACATTCTCAGCCCCTTTGACTTTGTCCTTGGCTCTTGTTCTTATCTCTTGTGGGGTCCCCTGCCCCTGGCCCTCCCTCTGCACTCCAGATGGCGCCATCAGTTCCAGTACCGAGGCTCTATGTGGAAGTCTCCATCCTACTACCCACCGTTGCTCTGACCCAGTGCCCTCACCTTTGCAAAAGCTGGAGGCAAGGAGAGTAAGATAGATCAGCATTTCGGAATCTGCTTTGTGCATTGGCCTTGCTGCCCACTGTAGCTCCTGACACCCGCCACTGAATCCTTGAATTCTGGAGAAGTCGGTGTCATCTCCAGCGTAAAGACAGAACTATGCCAAAGAGGCAGATCTGCCTTCATGTGCCATTTCCACTTGCCAAAACAGTAGTTCACGAGTCTCCGTCAAAGAGTTGACATGCCATCTCTGAGTAACAGCAGAACCAAGTGAGATTCACAAAGCCACTAGAATAAGAGCAGAGGACTCTTAGCTGCTGCTAAAAAAATGCTTTGTCCTCCGTGACTCTGAGAAGCGGCTGACATTCAGGGGCAGGCCTAGGGAGCCTGCCATGGGAATGCACTTACCATATGGCATGCCTGGAGAGGGGAAACCTGTAGGGCAATGCGGATCCTGTGGACCTGGCATCATGCAGGGCACATCTATCCCAGGAAACTTCAATCAAGGGTAAAACAATTTCATTTTGATCCCATGGTAATTAGTTTAAGTTTAGCATCAGTCATTGACCTTCTTTCTTTAAGATTTATTATTAGTTTTAAAATTATGTGTATATGTGTATGTGCATGTGTGGTTTTGTGTACATGTGAATGCAGGTGTTCAAAGAGTCCAGGAGAGGGTTCAAATCCTCTGGAGCTGGAGTTACAAGCAGTTCGTAAGCTGCCTGACATGGGTGCTGGGACTATACACAGGTCCCCCACAAAATCAGTACAAGCTTGCAACCACTGATGCATCTCTCCAAATCCCTGATCCACGTTCTTAAATATTTGCATCATCTCATGTTTCATGGAATCATTTTCAATAATTATATTCTAGGATACCTCATTATGAGTCACGTCAGTGACAATGTTTGTAAAATATTTATTAGCAGCATTAGAAATTATTGATTTCCTTTTCAGATGAAGTAAATTAACATAATGAATTCTAAACAGCTAATAGCTAAATAGTCTGTGCTTGCCAAGTTCTAAGAACTCTAATAAAATGACTGTCACACTGCAATGTACGCAGACATTAAACTATCCTGTGATGAGAGGAAGACCACCATCTCAAGAACCCCAAACCCATTTTCATGTCCTGTGTGTATGTTGGGGGAAAGGCTTCTCTCGCCTGCTAAGTAGGAATGGAGGAAGCTAAGTGGGCTCCATATAGGTGACCTTCCTTGTTGCAAGTGCCAGCCAGCACATTTCTTCTTCTTGCTACAGACAAGAAAACATCCACAAGGTGAACACAACCTTGGAAATTATGAAGTCATTTGAGCCATGGAAGCTTCCATGATTCCGAAGTCTAAGCATTTGTTAACAGACTTTAAACTTCCCCCAAAGAGCAGCCAGCAGCTCTTGGTGTGTGGCACCCAGGCAATATAGGATGCCTCTGTTGTCCCATTCCTGCTACGCTGCATTATCATGTTACCTTAGAAAGCGGAGGTACCCAGTGCCTTCAGGGTTAGGGAGCCCTCGTTTCTGGGCATGTTGACACAGATTCCAAATTACTTGTATAATAGAGCCTTTGTGGGCAAAGCATGATACTGCTGAGTGGAAGAAATCCAAAGATAACCTTGCAGTGATAACACACAGAGAAGTGGAGATGGGGACTCAAAGACCATTACATCCCAGTATCCGACTGGAGTCACAACCATGCCTGGAATTTCCCTTATAGATCAAGCTATAGGACTTAACTCAAAATCTTGTAGCATTTGAATGTCTGCTCATCCAAGGGATATGAAAGCTATTATACCTCCAGCCTTTTCCATGTGGCTAAATGAAAATATACTGAGCATTTCTACTATAAATCATGTACATATAGCTAAAGGTTTGCGTCTGAACTAATGTCATCATTTTCACCGCCATCATCATGATCATCATCATCCTTAAGAAGCATTCATCACCCAAACTATTTGTGTATTAGAAAGGCCAGGCCACCCCTTGATAGTCCTGGCTTTGAACTCTAATATACTTTTTCAATTATATTAACTTAATTTTCTATACAGGACGAAAAGTCTCTGCTAAATGTAGACTAGAGGAATTATCACCTCACCATCTGGAAGAGCTGTTACCTCACAACTAATTCCCTCTCTTTTCTATACATCTAGACATTTACTTTTCTATATAGCTGACTTTGCTCTAAAAATACCTAATCACTAAAAGATCCTTCTGTATCTATTCTTACTGAATATATTTGCCCATGAAACATTTCAATTCTAAGTTTTTATATAGTAATGGATTAAAAGAGCACTTACTGCTCTTCTCTAGGACCTATGTTTGGTTCCCAGCACCCATATCGAGCAGCTCACAACCACCTGTAAATCCAGTTCCAGGGGCTCTGATTTCCTCTCCAGATTCCATGGATACTTCACCTCTACAAAGACATGCACACATATGATGCACATAAACTTTTACAGGCACACATGCATACACATAGGTAAAAGTAAATAAACCATTTAAAATATTTCTGTAGTTTAAAAAAACTTGATATTCCTTCCTGTCATCTGATTCTTTCTCTTAAGGTACATCAATATATTTCTTTTATTATTTTTATTTTATGTGCATTGGTATTTTGTCTGTATGTATGTCTGTGTGAGAGTGTCAGATATCCTGGAAAAGGAGTTATAGGCAATGGTGAGCTGCCATGTGGGTGATAAGAATTAAACCCAGGTCCTCTGGAAGAACAGCCAGTGCTCCTAACCACTAAGCCATCTCCCATCTTACTCTTACTCTACATCAATATATTTCTTTACCTATGAAAGAGGGATAATAATAAATCAAATGGAACTTGAAAGAATTCAGTGAGAAAATGTACATTTATCAGGCACTGAAAATCTGAGCTGTTGTAAGAAAATTTGAAAAAAAAATCACACACCAAAGTTAACCAGACTCAAAGACTATGAAAGTCAACAAACTATTGCAGAAAAACAATTGGGATCAGAAGCTGTGGGACTTCACACTAGATTTTATACTTTCACTATCAGATATACTTTTATGCAATTACCCAGCACCACAAACAAAAAGTCCATGACATAGTTAAAACTAGAAAAATAATAAGCTTTTTTTCTAAAGGGAGAAATGTGGAGTATGGAAACGAGGTCATCAACACTGTGGGTGTCATAGAGAGAGAATGAGATCACAACATTATATTAAGGATATTAGTTTTTAGACAGTGTTTCAGTTTGTAGCCTGCACTGTCCTCAGACTCTTTGCTTCAGCCTCCTGAGTGTTGTGATTACAGGCATGAACCCCCAAATCCAGTTTAAGAAGATACACTTTTGAAAGACGTTCTCTAGGAGAAAGAGAAGGCTCAACTCTGAAGAAAAAAAGGGTTACCATGCATTAACTTATATACATAAAGGTAAGTCTATGCCTATGTAATGAAAAGATATTTTAATACCAGCAATAAGTTGTTAAATCTTTAGATATTTTTTGTATTTATTTACTTAGTTATTGGTTTTTCCAGACATGGTTTCTCTGTGTAGCCGTAGCTGTCCTAGAACCAGCTCTTGTAGACGATGCTGGCCTCAAACTCACAGAGATCAACCTGCCTCTGCCTCCCGAGTGCTGGGATTAAAGTCATGAACCACCACTGCCTAGTAAATTGTTAAATCTTGCACACAGCTGAGTAACATGCAAATAACTGAGTAATCAGGCTAGTCTCAGATAGCTGTGCAACACTAGAAGCCTGAAGAGGAAACAAGCAATAGTTCACAAATATAGTATTCAGACCAGCATCCTTGTGTAGAACACAGCTCAGAGACCTTCTTGCTGCAGAGCACCCAAGCACCCTAAGCAGAACACACTGCTTAACTGTAGGAAGAAGTTTCTGTCCTACCAGCAACTCCCAAATAAACACACTGAGACTTAATATTACTTATAAATGCTCAGGCTTATTACTAAGTAGCTCTTATATTTTAAGTTAACCCATATTTCTTATTTATGATCTGCCATACGGTGGTACCTTTATTAGCATGGCATGTTCATGTCCTGCTCCCTGTGTCTAGCTGGCATCTCCCTGACTCTGCCCTTCTCCCTCCCAAGTTTGGTCCCCCCTCCTATGCTTCCTGCCTGGCTACTTGACAGTCAGTGTTTCATTAAACCAATCCAAGTGACAAACCTTTACAGTGTGCAAAAGGACTACTCCACAGCAGTTAACAGCTACAAGCATTCTCCCTTCCCTCAGCTGGGGACCAGAGCCAGGCCTCCATTTGCAGTGTGTGCTGAAGGTGGGTTCTACAAAGCTCACACTCAGCTTTGATGAAGTTCCTATTTCTTTTCCACAGTGAGGGACATGTTTCTCATTCCACATTTTTTTACTTTATTTTTTTCTGCTTACTTTTATTTTTTAATTTAAGTGAATTTGCTCAATTAACCAAATCATTGGGTCCATTGGGAAAACTGAGGGGCAGATACTTTCTCATGGCATTCTCCTTCAAGAACTGTATATTTCCTTCACTAAATGTGCATGAAAACCGAAGAAACAATATGAGCTTGACTATACAAAAAAAATCCAGATATATGGCAATATAGTCTCAGTAATTATTCAAAAATGGCAAGATATTGAAATTATGTTTCCTTTTTACTTTTAATACATTTTCTAAATAGCATACCCAATAATCAGGAAAAGCCAGGCTTTTGAAGACCATAACTAAAACTGTATAAAAACTATCTTTAATTAAAAATGATCAGCTGATAAGGCCTCAGATGTGCTGGCAAACATCTCTTGGGTGGGGCACTATGAAGCCTGAATTCATTTCCTTCCCTCTCCATTTATGAATTTTCCCTAGTGAACATAAAGAAATTATCAATAGTAACATTAAATAACAGAAATTCAGTACACGGCTTTTCCCTTCTTCATGTATGTTAAGAACATCAAGGATGGGGAAGATATGGTGAAGACGGCAGCATTTTCCAGGGTTTCCCACAAACCCCACACCACACAGAGGACAGGCGCACACACCTGGCTCAGCATCCTCACTGAGCCTGGGTGATCCCCACCCATTTAGCAGCTCCCTGGGCCTATGCTCTTCTGTTTGGTCATAAGGTGAGGACAAAGTCTTAGGATTAATCTCACTGTCACTCTTGTTGTAGCTCTTCCTCTCACCGTGTGTGTGTGTGTGTGTGTGTGTGTGTGTGTGTGTGTGTGTGTGTGTGTGTGTGTGTGGACTTTTTTGATAGGTAGTTTTGAAATGTTATTTCAGGCTGACCTCTAAGTGCCGGGATTATTTGTAGATTATCACTGGGCATCCTTGAAGTCACAAACCACGAGGACCTCCGAGGACCCAGCAGCTGCTCCCTTCCACCAAGGTCAAGAGAACTTGAAGAGGTGAGGAGGTCAGTACTGGAGACCATGACTGATTTCCTGAGATGGGAATGGCAAGCTCACAGACAGAGGGTGAGACATGAGCCAAAAAGAATGGTTCTGGTCCTGTTGGGGCGGGGAATAGATGAGTGGGGCACACCCAACAAGAGGCACGTGAGCTGAGGATAGGCCGTTCATTACCACCCACATCTGTTCTGCATCAGGACCAACCTCCTGGGCTCAGCATCTGCTTCCCCTGTGGGTAATCTTGCCAATAACCCAAGAGGATCCCAGCTGGTCTGCTCAGAACACAGGGACCAAAACCCCCATGTTCCATGCTGACCCAAAGGGAAAGTCCATTCTTGGCAGAAGACTGAAGAAGCCCTTACTAGAAACAGAGCATTATCATGCCAGACACGTCAGGACAAGTTTAACAACATGATCTGAAGCCCCAGTCGGCTCCTGCTAGACAGTGGCCTGTCAGGATACTGGGTTTTCTTTCTACTTAGGAACCCTGGGCAGCAGGTAGAACACAACTGCAGCTTCTTCTGGTGCTGGGAACCAACATGAGTCAAAGTTGGCAATGTTTTGCAATGTCATTTTCCACATCTGTGAAATGGGCATGTTGCTGTCTCAGTACTGAAGTAGTTTCACACTGCAGACTCCCCAGTAGCACTTCGTAGCTGTCTGAAACCACTGATAATGAAAAGAAGCAATTGCCAAGCTCAGGGCTGAAGGCTCAAGAAAGTAAATGCTGCGGTTACTGATGGCTGATTGGTGGGAAATGTTCTTCCGTGCACATGTTTGGCTAATGAATAAAACACTTATTGACTGATTGGCCAGACAGGAAGTGACATAGCTTGGCAGAATTAGGATATAAGCAGGGACAACCAGGAAATCGCTCTCTTCTCTTCTCTGTGGAGATGCTGAGCAGCAATCATGTATCAGGCAAAGGAGTTGCAGGTCCAACATCCCCCAGTAAGCCAAGACCATGTGGAAATACATAGATTGATAGAAATAGACTAGAAATTAAGACAGAGCTAGCCAATAAGAAGCCCAAGCCAACGACCAATGGCCAACAGTTTCATAATTAATATAGCATCCGTGTGATTCTTTGGGGCTCCAGGCAGCTGGGACCAGGCTGGCAGGAAAGAATGCCCATAACAGCTGGGAAAGACTAAGAAGCCATGGGGACACGGATTAGGCCACTACAATGTGAGGAGGACATTACAGGTGGCACAGCTGTCCTGGGAAGCCATCTAGTTCTACAAGAAATGATTTGAAAGTGCAAACCTATGCCTCTGGTTAAATCCTCTGCCACCCCAGTTAAAGTTCTAGTGAAATTTCCGAACTTCTGATCATGCCAATTTTCAGCCCTGACTATAGATGCTCAGGTCATTCTTTTGCTTTGTGGTCAATAATGCTTAGCTCTCTGGCAGACTAGCCTGGCACCAGCAATTTTAGGTAAGGATTTTGGACTTTGGATGTGGTTGTGAAACATTGGTGTGACCCAACCACCTCTCCAGCTTTGGTAGAAATAATGTTTGTTTGTGAGTAGTTTATACGAGGCTTTGGTATCCCTAGTGTGGGACTGTTTGGTAGATTAGAGCCAGGCAGCCAGATCTCAGGCCGTTTGTTCTGTTCCCATTCTCTGTGCTTGGCCCTGAAAATGGACAGGGCACATTGCAGACCCAGAGTACCTTTCCCTTGAGGGGTCTGTGAGAAAGAAAAGTGGCCAGGTCTCCCAGAGGACATGTGTAGGCTCACTACAGGGGAGCAGTGGCCGTGGAAAGGGACAGATGGAGCTGACCTCTTGCCAGTCCCGACTCAAAGTTCCTTGGGACCCGAGAAGGAACTCAAGGCTCAGACATTGCCAATTAGCAGCTCCTGGAGAAGATGAGGTTGGGGGTGTGAGGTGATGTGGAGAACCCAGGTGAGATGGAACAGAATCTCCCTCCTTAACAATTGTCTTCCAGGCATCTTGCTCTTTGGATTTAGCCACTGAAAGGCATTTTCTCAAGTTCTTTGGAGAAAAGAAAAACCACCTGAAAATGCTGCAATCTTATGTCCAAGTCACCAACGAAGATGGTCAGCTTCACATACAAGCATGAAGACTCACTTCCAAATGGTCCTTTGTGGAATCATTAGGACAGGAGCTTCAACTATGAGGTCATTGGGGTGGACTTTGAAGGCTTTAGCTCACCTATGATTTAGTCTCTGCTTCCTGATCCCCCGAAATACAAGTAAAGCACACTGCATGTTCCTGCTGCCATGGACCAAGCAGCTAGCGCTGCCATGCCCCCCACACCGCGATGGGCTGAGTACAGCCTCTCTGTGACTTGACAGACTATGTGTATTCTCTGGAGCTATGGACCAAAATAGATCTCCCTGCTTTTAAACTGCTTCTGTCACACATTGTGTCACAGCAACAAGAAAGCAATTCATGGCCCTTTGCAAAAATGCTTTCTTTTCTTTTGCTATTGTGCCTAGGATGCCTAACAGGCCATCTACCTACTTAGCAGGTAAGTGATTGTGCTACACAGTGTTGTAGTACATACCATGCACCAGGCATAGGTATCATACAGATTTCTAGAAGTCACTGACCTGTAGAGATTGAAAGGTCATGGATTGCTCGCTTCCTACAGCTGCTGACAAGACAACCCCCATGCTGCTTTCTGCTTCCGGAGTTTGTCTGCCTTAAACTCCTTGCACAGGCAGAACAGCGTCTATCCTATTATTCCCAGCATACTCACTTAGTCCGGGTCCCTCCATATTCATCCATGGAGTCTAATTTTGTGGGAATTCCTTCTTTCTTGTCAGCCCTTCTATGAGTAACTTCCCACCAAGCCTCTCACCACCTGCTGTGGAGCCAGCAAGCCAAGCAGCAGTGAGGAGTAAGGAAAGGGAGCTTGGGCCTGATTTCCAGGCCCCTAACCAGAACACTGACCTTTGATTGACATTTACAGTCTCTTGGCATCCATCTCCCCTCCTGTAAAATTAAGTGATTTTACTCAACACCACCGAGGTCTCTTCTGCCTTTGAGTGGTTATGATTCTGTGTGGATGAAATGAGGCAGTGACCATGTATCTGGGGGACAAGTTCGTCTACATTGGCATTTGATGTTTAAAGAAACACATGTCCTCCCTAAAGCTTTTGTCATTTGGGAGAATTTATTTAATGGGAGGTCCAACACCAGATTCTGTGAATAAAAATATTTTTTCAGCATCTTTCTCTAGAAGGTTTTCTCATTTCTCTTTCCTCCCCTTAGAAAATGCCTTAATACAAATATTTAGATCATTATAGAAAAAGAATTCTTCCTGATGAGCTTGAGATCCTATAGTAACAATATTAAGCCAGGCCTTTTATTGCTGGTTAATGAAATTCTTTTAAAATTGAACCAACTTCAAGTAAACTGATTTGCATTGATTTGGTAATGTATAGAGCTCAAGCCACTCCATGTATAAGCAAATTAAAAGCTTGAAGCCTGTAAGGCCAAGCTGCATAGTCCCTGGCAGAAAAATTGATCCCATGATTCCCTCCACAGGCACCTTGTTTGGGGGTTGGGACTGTTTAAAGGTACACAGTCAACTTTTTTGACAGAAAATAAAAATTAATTAGGAGAAAAGTAAAATTATGTTCAATGCTAGATTCAACTTTTTTCCAAGTCACAGAGACAATTTTTATAATGGAAATAGTCATCTTAGAGGACTTCAAAGCCCATTTCACACACACTGAAATGGCACACAGGGGCACAGCTATTTTCACTGAGAATCCCTCATGGTTCATGAGTGCTCCATCCATCTGACTGAGCATCCCCCATGGCTCCTGAGTGCTCCGTCCATCTGACTGAATATCCCTTGTTATTTCTGGGTGCTCCATCCATCTGGTTGAACATTCCTTGTGGTTCCAGAGTGCTCCACTCATGCAACTCCTATGCTGCAGCCTGGTGATTTCCAGTCTCATATAAGTCCCAGCTGTGGCTCTCCTATAGATGAAGGGAAGGGAAGAAGGACTAAGCCATGAGCCCCATGGCCTCCAGGCCCAGGAACTGAGAGTAGTGATTTCGGAAGAATGAGTGTTGACTCTACCACTTGATAATGGCATCATCTTAGATTCTCTGCCTCAGTATTTGATCTATAAAAATGGGGTCATTGAATACTTACATAATAGTTTAGTCCGTGGGACGATGGATGAAACATTTAATGTGGACATGTCCAAGAATCAGCTATTGTCATTGTTGCTGTTAATGTTACCACTATAAGATAAATGCATTCATCCTTACCCTGTTATCCCAGAACCAACAGGAAGAAAGTGTCTTGCAGACATGGGCAGAAACATTTCTCAATTACCGAATCAGAAATTATTTATTAAAAGAAAAAAATGGTGAGCATGCACGAACCCTTCATCCTTGCCTTGAAGATAAAGTGAGGTGTGGGGGCTTAGACTTCTCTATCAAGAGAGAGGAGAAGACATCAAGCAAACATTTGCTCTGGTGTAAACCTCTAAAGTGTAAAGTGCTTGCTGAGTATGTCAAAGGAGCCTTACTGAAACACTGAGGAAGGGTGGACCTCCCCAAGGTCCTCATGTGTGGAGATGGCCAAGCAAAGAACACACAAAGAAGGAGCTAGAGTTGTGCACAGTGTCAGTCCTACCAGGCTGTGCAAAGGATTGTGGGTTTATCCTGAGAGCTCAGGCTGCCCTCAAAGGCTTCTAGGCAACAAAGTAGCAACACCAAGTTAGTGTTTTGATCTTCCCTGATGTGGCATTAAAAAGGCTGAAGGAGAGATGTGGAGAAGCTATGATAGTGGTCTGTGTAAGAGGCAGGTGCATAGAGCAGGGACATGGTTTCCCTAGTCGGTGTGATCAAGCTGAAGGAGCCTCTCACAGCAACATTAGGAAGCTGTCAGGAGCAACGATCTGGACGAGAACTGCACATTAGGATGCTGGACACTGAGTGAGAAAGCATACAGAATGATCACAGGAATGTTCATATAGTAGCCTACACACACACACACACACACACACACACACACACACACACACACACACATCCCATGCAGGCAGGGGCATAAGGAACAGCTATATTCAGTCCTTGTCTTTGAAAATCGTGTGGCCTGCTGTGATCAGAAAGTTTGTGTCACCACAAAATGCACATGTTGTAATTTCAGCCCTCAGGGTGATAGTATAAGGAGCTTGCTTGTATATGAAGCAGTTGTGTCATGAGAGTGCAGGGTTTGTGAAAAAGATTAGTATTCTAGTCAAGGAAACTAGTATGTGGCTTCCACCACACAAGGGGACAAAGGGATGGTTTTGTGCCTTCCACCACACAAGGTGACAAAGGGATGGCATTTGTGCATGAAGAAAGCAGGTCCTTACTAGACATCAAGTCCACAGTGCCTTGATCCTAAGTATTCTGTGCTCCAAAACTGTTAGATAGAAATTTCTGACATTTGTAAGCCACCAGTCTAAAGCATTTTGTTATAGCAACCCAGACAGAGTAAGACAGCTCCATTAATCGGTTTTCAGAGATCCTTATAGATCCTATCCTGTTACTCCATCTTAAACCCAGCTTCTACCTCAAGCAGAGGGCAGAAGAACTGAGGGGCTGTCTCGCAGAAGTGTTTTCCTAAGAACAACTTTTGTGTAACTCCTTGTCAAATGACTATGATTACTCACATGGTCCTACTCAGTCACAAAGGAGGCTGTGAAATGTGGACGAACCAGCTAATATTCAACAAGCATTAAATTCTTTCAACTCCATCAAGCAAAGTTTAACCTTCCACATATATGAAATCTTTTTCTTCCATATAAAACCCCAAAGGGCTTCCTTCTTTGAGTTCACGCCCAAACAAGTCTCTTTTGTCTTTAAACATGTTCTTCTGTTAGGAG